AATCCATAATTCTTACTGGTGCTACATTTTTTTCACTAATTTTTTGCTCTCTGTGTAAATGTAAATATCTGTAGTATGTGTCATTGTGTTTTTATTATGTGTTCACAAATGAGTGCTTTGCTATACACCATTAAAGGTGCAGTGTGTGAGATTTAGGGGGATCTCTTAGCAGAAATGGAATATAGTAAACAAAACCATGTTTTGATTAGTGTATAATCAGCTGTAACTACGAATCGTTATGTTTTCGTTATTTTAGAATGAGCTCTTCATATCTACTCAGGGAGCGGCTCCTCTCCCTATGTAGATATGAGTTGCTGCCGGGTTGCTGGCTGAACACTTTGTGTTGAGAAGTTTGAGAAGCCAAATTTTGACAAATGGAGAATCAGACTTATTATTTAGCACAAGAAAAAGTGAAGGAAGGTGAATCCTCACCGTGAAAGAAGAGAAAACCTGATTCTACCTGGTTCTCCAGGTAAGCAAAAGTGGTGGCTCTATAGCGTCACTCAAAGAACCCTTTAGTACTTTTTTTCACCAGTGTAGCACCTAAAATCTCCAGTACTGTTCAAAATTTGGAATCACTTTTCATATTAATCATTTTACAGTGCAGATCTAAGTACACATGTAGATTATATTCAGTATTTCAAGGTTTTTGTCAACAACAAGAAATTATTAAAACATAAATAATATACTGTAATTATCTATTTATTGAAATTTTTGTCATGTTATCTGCCTCGAGATGTGAAAGTAGGAGGCATTATGAGTATTTTTTATAACTTCATGCAGTCGTTTTACAACCATCCACAGCTGTGTTCATCATTCTGGATTTTTTACTGCTTCCTGTTAATGAAATGTAAATATATAAACTTGTAAAGTTGCATCAGACCAGCATATTCCAGTAATTTTATACATTTTTCTATACATTTATACCACTATTCTGCTTTATATTATTGAAAACCTTAATTCCAAACACTGAAACGTTAATTTCCAATGTTTAAATTATTATCTGAGCTCTTTGTACACAAAAGTTTTAACACCCAGGTGAAAGAGCATGTTTTGTTTTCTACATGAAAATAAGTTAACACATCTACAGAGAACAGTCTGAATTCATATTTATTTGCATTTTTAATTATTATTCATAAATATTTATTCAATTTATCTATTCTAATTCCCAGTTTAACATACTGGAAAAAATAAAACAAAATATTAATGAGTCATAACTTTTGCACAGGCCACATTTCATATTTTATGTTTTCCCAGCATGTTAAATAGAGTTATTGAGCATTAAAATGTACAGAAGTGTGTCTTTTTAAAGTCAATTAACATGAATTCTACACCAACACCAACAGTTTCTTGCTTGTTCAAACAGTTTCTCCATGGCATGTTTCATCTGAACCTTCCCAGTTAAGCGTGCTTCTATTTCAGTTTGGTAAATAATGGCACTGAGTCATTCACAGCAGCCTCTTTGTTCCTCTCTGCAGATTGGAGAACACCTCCAAGATGGAAGCTCTGAGGACACGTCCAAGTCACACGGCGTTCGGTCATCTCCTCAAGAGAGAACTATCTTGTCATACAGGAAACCTCTGTACAGCATCTCCCATCGTATCACTGAGAAGAAAGCCACATCCAGCTTGGACCAGCTTGGACAGCACGAGCCTGGAATGCGCGTCAGCCACAATGGCATCATTTTCCCAAAGCTGGGCAGCCCAGACGAGCACAATCGATTTGAGTCCCCTTCAGCTGAGTCCACTGCATCCCCTGTATCCTCGGAAACCCACCTGTACCCGCTCTTTGAGAAGATGTTCTTCATTCTCAACACCCTTAACTCTAGCATGACCCAGCTGCACAGCAAGGTCGACCTCCTATCACTGGAGGTGACCCGCATCAAGAAGCAGATCAAGCCTTCGGAGATGCCTATGGAATTCCAGCCTCCACCAGAATACCTCTTGACGAGTGAGGAGCTCGCTCAGTTGATGGAGCAAACCTCCACAGCTGGTGAGCTGGGCTGCAGGCTGCTAGTCCAACTCTTCCCTGAACTTTTTACGGCCAAGGAATGTGCACATGGTTGCAAATCCTGCGGCGCTGCAAGTAAACGCACCCTGGATTCTTTGCACCTTCAGCTCATACGCAACTATGTGGAGGTCTGCTACCCGCTGGTCAAGAATGGCAACGTTTGGCAGACCGAGTGCCTCATGCAGATCAATGACTTTTTCAATCGTTTCTGGGCTCAGAAGGATCTGGAGAGTGGGCAGATCTGTGGGAAACAGACTCCAGTGGTCCTTGGCTTTGACGTGGTCCAAAACCATGGCTGTCATTTCATCAACGAGGAGGGACAAGACGAAAGACTCTCACTAGACTCTGGAGAGAACAGCAACAATGGTAGTCATCTTGGCAATGCCCAATCAGATGCTGCCTTTGATACTCAAGACACTGGGGAGGATTCTGACGACATCACCTCACCTGAAGACTTTGTCGTGTTTCTTTTAAATAGACTCTTTCCAGAAGTGTTTGAAGAGGGTAGACTGCCTGAGGGTCACAGCACTGTGGGACAGTTGATAATCGGTTCAGACAGACTGGACATTATACGCAAGTACATGGAGGCAAATTTTCCAGATATACCCGAAGACACTTGGATGCAGTTGTGTGTCCAGCGAATGGAGGAAGCTCTCGAGAACGCCCCCACCGATGGCAGTAACCTGGACAACAACCGTGAGGAGAGCTACGACTCTACTTGTCTCCCTGACGACATCTCCATAGTCAAAGTCAGTGACCTCTGTGATTATGAAAAGCCTAATCGCAGGTCAAAGAAGTCTTGGCTGGAACCTGTTGACTTTGATGAAATGAACGTCCCGCTACCAGATTTTGATGTTCCTCAAGAGTACCTGCTCACCAAGGAGCAGCTAAAGAGCATCTACAACAGCAGTTTGTCCATCGGAAACTTCGCCTCCCGTCTCCTGGTCCTCATGTTCCCTGAACTGTTCACGTATGAAAATGCACGCAAACACTACAATTGCAGTGGTTCCTTGGGCAAGAAGCAGTTGGATCCCGTCCGGGTCAGCCTCATTCGCCATTACGTCCAGCTGCTCTACCCCCGGGCCAAGAACGACCGCGTCTGGACTCTTGAGTTTGTCGGCAAGCTGGATGAACGCTGCAGGCGAAGGGACACAGAGCAGCGTCGCTCCTATCAGCAACACCGCAAAGTCTCCGTCCCTGAGCAAGAACCCGATCCTAGAGACTTTGGGACCGCTAGCCAGATCAACCCACTAAACCCGGAGCGCCTCAAGGAGGACTTTGAAGTGCCCTCGCTACCACCTGAGAAAAGTAGCAAAGACTTCTGCAAGATCCCTCTAGAGGACCTCACGGTGTCCACCCCAGACTTTCCAGTGCCTTCCACCTACCTTCTCTCGGACGCCGAAGTTCGAGAAATAGTTCAGCAGAGTCTGTCCGTCGGGAACTTCGCTGCCCGGCTTCTCGTGCGCCTGTTTCCAGAGCTTTTTACGCAGGAAAACTTGAGGCTTCAGTACAACCACTCCGGTGCCTGCAACAAGAAGCAGCTCGACCCTGTGCGCCTCCGACTCATCCGCCATTACGTGGAGGCTGTGTATCCCGTGGACAAAATCGAGGAGGTTTGGCACTACGAATGTGTACCTAGCATCGACGAGCGATGCAGGCGCCCGAATCGCAAGAAATGCGACATTCTGAAAAAGGCCAAGAGATCGAACAGCACTGTGTCATGATGCCTTTAGGCCCCTGTTCTTTTTGTCCTTATATTTTACACAAACGTGTATTTTCTTTGCACAAGTCCATAAGCTGAAGCTGCATAGTGAAACGTATATAAAATGCCCTCATTGAGGTCCAGTCATGTAGGATAGGGCCAAATCGATGGTCCTTGTACAGGATATGTTCGTAACATGTAGCTGCAACACCTGACAGTGAGGTTCTCTTTAAAGACACTGTCAACTGATAGTGACATATTAGTGTTATTATTTATATGCCAAACTATAGTTGTAATTCTAACTTCTAATAAGCTATCATAGCCTTAAACACATACATAAAGAAGTATAAACATTTATCTTTAGACAATATAGGTCACTTTAGTCAGGGGGAGTGGGGCGGGGCAGAGATATGTGATATATATTTTTGTTTTTAATTAATTGTAGCAATGTTGCAGCACTGGTCTTTTTTCTAACTCTGAATTTATGAGCATATGTCCTACCTGCAGTCTATAATAAAATATAGAAACAGATTGTCACTATTTTTAAATAAAATTACATTTGTGGAGAAACACATCTAGTTTGTTTAATTAGCAATCACTAATTAAGCCTCAGGTAAGAACTTATTTGGACATGAGGTGCACAAGCAAAAATGGAGTTCCTTCAGATTCATTCATTTTAATTTTATTTGTAATAAATTTTTAATAAAACCTTTGACACATGGATTGTAAGGGGGGGACATGGAATATGAATTTAGCTAAGAAAGACTTGTTCTCTGTAATTCCTTCATTTGATCCTTGAATATCTTAATAGCTAATATTGCTAATATCAATAAAAGACATCAACAAAAAATTAGTGTAAAATAGGATTCGGTCAAAGCTTCTCCACATGTTCTAAACAGCTGCTCCTCCACCTGTGTTTCTTCTAAAATAAAGGTATTAATAGTGAGTCTGTGCTGCAGTAACAGCCTCGACTCTTCTGGGAAGGCTTTACTCTAGATGTTGGAACATTGCTGTGAGGATTTGATTGAGCATTACTGAGGTCAGGCACTGATGTTAGATGGTCAGTTCTGGATCACTCCAACTCATCCCAAAGGTACTGGATGGAGCTCCATCACTCCAGAGAACACAGTTCCACTGCTCCACAGCCCAACGCTGGGGGGCTTTAAACCCCTCTAGACCATGCTTGGCACTGGGCATGGTGTGCTTAGGCTCATATGTGGCTGCTCCAGAGTGTCCTAATCCATTGGTCAATGCTTTTCTATAGAAATTATACAAGCTTGCAAGTGAA